AGAGTTTAAAAATATATTTTTTTTTTGGGGGGGGGGCGGGGGAAGGGGGCAATAATTAGATATATCACAAATAAGCCAAATAGGATTCAGGAGATACAAAAGGTTGTTGCGTATCCTTTACAGGACGTTGCAGAACCAACCCTAACAGCCCCTGGCTGTTGTGTGGTTTCTCTAGGCAAATACGTCCAGTAGTTTGCCATTGCTTTCTGGACGGTCGGCTTTCTTGATACCACTGTCGAAACCAACGCAAGGCGCATTGCCCGCAGCTGGGATCGAACCCGGCATCCCGGCATTTCGAAGCGAAGTGTTCGCATCGACTTAGCCACAGAGCCGACTAGGAGATACAGAAGCACTGATAAACAAACCTCTTATCTCGCACAGGATATTGAATATGCTTTCCAGAAAAAAATACAAACTGCTAGCTACTTTCTTTTACCTGACATTCTTTGTGACTGCATGTCAGTCCTTTGGACGACTCAGAGTGATCTACGAGACAACCTTTGATATGGTCTAGAAGAACAGAAAAGAAAAAAGAAAAAACTTGCTCACAGTGGGATAAAAGGGCATATGTTTGCCTGGATTAGACACTTTTTTTTAAAAACAGACGCTGTGCGAGAGTCAGACTGGAAGAACACAAGTGGGAGGTTAAAAGAAGGTGTCCATCAGGGAGGTGTTATATCTCCTACCCTGTTAATTTTTTTCATCAATGACCTCCCAAAACAAATCACGAGTCGCATTCCCAAGGCCCTACATGCAGATGACCGGGCCATATGGAGCCAAGTTGAACATATAGGAACAAATAAAACAAGAATGCAGAAAGATATAAATACAATTAAAAAATGGAAACTTTTCAGAACAAGTTGATCTGTAGCTAGAAGGCAAAATCCTTCTAAAAAGAGGATAACCCCACATATTTGGGTGTATAATTCCTAAAAAGACTTAACTTAGGGCCTCCACATTAACGACGCCCAAGAAAAAGCTATCCTGAGGCTCAGCGTTATGAAGACACTTATTGGAACAAGCTGGGGTGCAGATGCCAACACTGTGCGAGAAGTATACACAGGATACGTACGACCAAAACTGGAGTATGCCATGGAAGCATACTCAACTGCAGCCAAATCAAACCTACACAAACTGGACAAAATACAAAAAACTGGTATCAAAATAATCATTGGAGAAGCACACCAATCCATGAGCTAAAGGCAAATCAGGCCTTCAAAGCTTGAGCCTTCGAAGGGAGGACGTTGCTTACCCTAAAACACAAATTTAAACGCTTGAACAACAGCTCCATGCTCAGAATAGCAAATAACCAAACTAAAACCGACTGAAGAGACAAAGCTTTCACCATCTATCAAAATTTTACTACACAAAAACTAGTGACATCCTTTCTAAAGATCCTTCAACATGGGAAATTATCCAGGCATACAGAATAGACCTACAGCCTAACTATAAAGGCATAGACATAAAGACTGAAGAATATGACCTAGTACTGCATGCAAAGACGCTTGAACATGTTGTCAACTGTTATCCAAATAATGAATGGACACACGTATATATCGATGGATCATTGGAAGCAGGAAAAAAAAAAACGGAGGAGCTGAATCGGTCATCATGCTGCATGTAGAGACCACAGTAGAAACGTCATGCGCCTCCAGAAAACTCTCAACAAACTTCTGAGCAGCTCAAGCAATTATTGATTCAGCCAAAGTCAGTCCTCCAGGCAACTAAATTGATGATGACATTTACAAAAAAAAAAGAAAAAAAATGTAAGCAAAAAATAAACCAGAAATTTGAGTAGCCAGTGTTAATTTGTTGAAGGTAAAGACAAAAACATCAAGACGCGAATCCTGCGAATGTAATTTTTTTTTTTTTTATTATTTTTTTTTTTATTTTTAACATTACGAGTCTTATTATTTATTGTCTATACAATTTTTTTCTAAAAAGTAGGAAATTAAATAATGTGCGAAAAATAGACATTCGAAAGCAGGACTAATTCTTTGGCAAGTAAAAAAAAAAAAAGTAACTAAGAAATAACCGACAATTTGAATTTTTCAACACATTTAGCATCGTCTTGTGGACTACACCCAATCCATTAACTCTGTGAAGAAAATCATAGCTAGAGTCCGTTCCAGAAGTCATGTCAACATTTGAAAATCTGTAACTCAGTAACCGTTGGGTGAAGAAGTAAAGTAAAGGTCCTTTTTCCATGCCTTTAGGCATATAGGGCATATAGGACAGGAACTATATTTTGAAAATCCAATTAGCACAAAATGGGTGATGCCGTCTTTACTTCCCGGAACTGCACCCAGTACCCAATTAAGGATAGGTCAACCTGGGAGTAAAGTCATTTTTGAAAAAAGTCCGGCTCCGCCAGGGAGCGAACCCACGACCTTCCGATCCCCATGCGAGCGTTTGCCCGCTACGCTGCAGCGACTCCCAACCGTTCGGTGTCAACATGTTAGTGGCTTATCCTTTACAGGATGTTGCAGAACCAACCCCAGCATTGACTGTTGTGTAGTTTGCCATTGCTTCCTGGATGGTCGGCTTTTCGATACCACTGTCGAAACCAATGCAAAATACAAGACCCGCAGCTGGGATCGAAACCCAGCATAACGAAGCTAGTGCGCATCGCTTTAACCACAGACACCTACAGCCGTTCGGTATCTTCTTCTTTTGTCAAAATCTGCTTGTGCCGCTGGGCGTCGCAGTCTATCAGATGATCGGCAACAGAGCCAGGGCGCGCTCAGTCGCTTCATATGCCGTGATGTTATGAAGTCTCAAGTTGTCCGTGACTCCTTCAATCCATCTTCTTCTTGGTCTTCCCCTGCCTCTTGGTGTTTCGATTTTCATGTTGTATGCTCTTGATGCTTGCATCGTTGGTTCCATTCTCATTAGGTGACCAAACCATTTCATTCTTTGCTTCTCAATAAATTTAACGATGGGTATGGTTCCAATAGTTCTTGTAATCACATCGTTTTTCACTCGATCTCTTCTGGTTTTATTCGCAGCCATTCTCAAACATCTCATTTCACAGGTGGTTAGTCTTATACCCGTTCGGTATAAGTTGTTGAAATTTGCTGGGTAACCTTTCAATATTCATTCCATGAAAGAATTAGTTTTTTAATGTAAACGAACATTTTTTTTTTCAATGTGCCTTCTTTGCGGATGTGAAACAACGGACACAGATTTAAAGCAAAAAATCAGCATGCTTACAAAAACGTGAGTCAACTGAGCAAAGAGAACTGTTCAAAACATCAAACTGCACGTGTTTCTTAGGCCAAATCACCTGCAACTGAAATCCAACCACATAACATGCCATCACGAAACTCGTTCACGAACCATAAGCCACAAACGCTAACGAAGGACCCCATTGTCAGACCTCCATATCTATTTTTTCAGAACAATAATTTATTATTTTTTTATTGCTATTATTATTAATTTATTAGTAATAATACTATTACTGCAGGCTGCGTGGATTTTTGTCGTGGTATGGGACGTCGCAGGTCGACCCAGCCTAAAATGGGTACCAGGATGGGCTGTCCTGGGAAAGTAAAAACAGCCGGCGTAATGCTGACCACATTACCCACAGAGTGCTGATGGTCTGTAAAAATATGGGCGCTCTTCCCATATGCCCGATGCGCCGAAAGGCGTGAAAGGGGATCTTTACTTTTTTACTTAATAATACTATTATAGTTTTTTTTATTTATTATTTTTATTGTAAACAAATGCCTTTGTTTGCACATCTTTGTAAGTATTGGGTATATATGACCAGACATATATTTTATAGATTAATCGCTACTATGCGTGTAATGGTCGGCTCTGTGGCTAAGTCGATGCGAAAGCTTCGTGATGCCGGGATGCCGGGTTCGATTCCAGCTGCGGGCCATGCGCCTTGCGTTGGTTTCGACAGTGGTATCAAGAAAGCCGACTGTCCAGAAAGTAATGACAAACTACTGGACATAAATTTGCCTAGAAAAGCCACACAACAGCCAGGGGTTGTTGGGGTTGGTTCTGCAATGTCCTGTAAGGGATACGCAACTAACCTGATGTGTGTGATGGGGTCAGTATCACGACAACCGTCTCTACTTCCCCGGACTAGTACCTGGTAGCCATTTAAGGCTGGGTTGCCCTGTGAAGAAGAAGAATGCCCACATGTGTTCAGATTTAAACCCACTATGTTCGGATCTGAATGCCAGCATCTAGCCTCATGAAATAAATGCTAATTTTGGTAAACGTAGATATATTAAAAACTAAATGTCAATTAGATTTTTATTTTCTTTTTTTAATGTTTGCTTGTTAAATTGCATAGGGGTAATTAGTCAAAATAGATGAAAATTCAAACCTCTGTGGCACTGCACTGACTCACAGACATGATTACACGGTTGAAACATATGATACACTTTGATGCATAACACTAATCAGGAGAGGCACACACATAAACATACACACACATACACACACACACACACACAATACATATTTTAAAAAATACGTTTGGAAAGAGAGAGAGAGAGATTATGGGTGACAAATTAGTGTATTGACATATATGGTCTTGATTAAAATATGAGCTGACAAAGGTGAGCGAAAATCCGTGATCGCCAGTATCAGCTCCAAATCAGGCACTTGCTAAGTAAGAAAAGAACGATAAAAAAGAGGGAGGGGCGGTAATTCGGATGGGGAAAGAAGCGTAAGAGCTAAAGAACAAAAAGAAAATTATTAATAGAAGAGAAGGAGAAGGAGGAGGAGAAGAAGAAGAAGAAGAAGAAGAAGAAGAAGAAGAAGAAGAAGAAGAAGAAGAAGAAGAAGAAGAGGAGGAAAAAGAAGAAGAACACCAAGAACAAAAACAAGAACGAGAACAAAGACAAGAAAAAGGTCAAGAAACAGGAAGATGGAACATAAAGTAGAACTAGAATAAATAACCGTAGGACGTCAAAAATGTTTTATACTATTTTACCGCGCATAACCCTTTGGGTCATCTCGCATGTAATATATGTTAACATTTAAAGCAGCAGCGCATACAAAACAACAAAAACCAGCAGTAACGATGGGCCGACCATCTCAACCCCATTGCCGTTTGGACACGTTGCTGGCGCTACGGTGGTTGCCTCTGGTTGACTGCTATTGCTGGTGAAGGTAGGGCAATGCGGGTCCCACCCATAGTCATTTCCATTCTGTTCTCGGAGAAAGTCAAGCAGTGGTTTGAAGTATTCCATGAGAGGCTGGGCGCTCATCTTTTCCTCACCGGTGAGCTGTTTCATGGCTTCCTGCCATGGCTTCGAGGAGCCAAGTTTCAACATGTCCCTGCCAAGAAATAGACATGATTCATGAAGCTGTATATGAGGACTTGTTTTTATGAAGAACTCTACACAAGGAAGAAGCAATATCAATCAAACCGTCTAGAACATCACAACAAAATGGAACCAAAGGAAACCATATTCGAACAAACCATACCCAATAAAGATCGCAATTATAGGCATCAGCTACATAGCGGAAAAAGTCTGAACGAGATTGAATTATCTTTTTCTTTTACAAGAAGCAAGCAAGCAAAAAAAAAATAAATGTTTCCGTTCTTACCCTAAAGCTTCCAAAAAGGATACCGGTAGTCAATACAAAGTGTCTAATACTGTAATGCTGGAAAACTAATGCATGAAAAAGGTGCTGGTACTGCGTAAATTTGTCAGTGAGTTACCATTTCAGCCATCGCATTTAATATCATTATAAATTATGTTGTACTGAAACATATTATGAATGTTATTTCAATCGACGTCACTGCACATTAGGCATTCCGATGTGTGCTCAGTCCTCCGATGCAGCAGCCACTCCTAGGTACTTCTACTGATTCTATGAGAGGATGGTTATAATGATTCCTGTCTAGACCTCAAAGGCAACACATACGTGCTTCACCATGCTTTACTCCCATGTCACGCAATCGTGTTAGTATCAGAGATTCGTCATTACCCACTAGCCCGTCTGTACAGCGCCGATAATATCTGCTCTGTCCATGCTTCTTCCCAAATGTGTTCGTGCATTGCTGGCCAGTTGGTCCGGTCACACATTACCGTTTGCGCCCGCATGACCAGGTGTGTAGATCTAGGTGAAGGTGGTTAAGTATGTGTGATTTTCTAATGCTTTCTACAAATTCAGAACGCATACTGCCTGTTGATAGCTTCTGAAGCATTTCAATGAGTATGATACAATTACTGCGTGTGTGACTGTTTGCTCTTCTGTCCATCTAGTGCTCTAGAAGCAGTAGCTATCTTCACGTTTATGCTTGACGTAGCTATTTGGTCTTCTTGTATTGTTTTCCCCATCCAGTGAGCCGTGTATGCCGATGCTGACCTTAATCCGCGCTTCACGGATCTGTCTGACTGAAACGTATAATTTCAGTGTGGTTTCGTATATTCCATTTGAAAATGTATTTCTGATATATGGGGTCGTGAACTGCTATAAAATGGGTTCGCGACTCGAAAAGGATTGGGAGCCACTATTCTAATATATCAAGTCCTTTCCATAGCTAAATACAGGACATGTTCTTGATGGGTTTTCGAAACCTCCAGTTTTGCTAGTCATCAGGATAAAGTCCTTGTGATCTTTGATTGGTTCAACTATAGCTGGTTTGTGTTGGATAAGATCGTTGTAGCGAACACAGTTTCAAATAATTGTACAATAGACTCAGTATTTTTTTAAAATTCTATTGAGAGGTGCAGAGGTATTTCTGAGTAGTCAATTTTACACTCGATGATTCTAGATCCTAGAATAATTGTTGGCATCCATATTATGCTGGGCTAAAGTCAGTTTAAACAACTAAAAATCACTGAGCCATTGAAATTTTCTAGCCACTACGCTAGCGTTTGCCAACCGTTTTTGTGTGTGTGTGTTAGTTGCAACCCTATAGATGTGCTATACACGTTCGCGTTGTGGTTTTACAGTTAGCGTGGGATTTTTGTGCCTTTTGGCGAAACAATTCATGTTTTAGCAAATCAATAATAAAGTCGCTTTTAATGACATGATTGTTAGGGTGGTAGCAGTTAAATAAAAGACACAAGGGGAATTTTTTTTATGTAACAGGAGTTAGTTCGACGTTAGTCTCCACAGATCCCGCCCATAAACACACTAGCTCACTTCTGATTGGTAGTTCCTGAGCCCCGTGGCCTTCGCACACGTTTAACAGTGGTGTTGATATCGCGTGTTGTATATTTCAGCACTCCAACGCTTTTAACTCTCCAAACAACATGGAGAAACCGGGTCTAACACAACCCCTCTGGGGAGAGCTACAGCCAATGCCACAGGCATTCTCTTTCTCAGAATGAAAACGTAAATGCAAGACATCGCAGAAAACAAACAACAGAGCGGGACCCACCCGTAACATTAGGGAAAGTCGACCACCCCAACAAATTCGTCAATGAAAAGTCACCTACTCCATTGGAGGAGACTAACGCTGAACTAACCGTAAAGGGAGCCAAACACGGTGGGCCTCTGAAGTATACGAAAATGGTGGTTGTGGTGGTGGCTACGTCGTTCCCATCGGTGGGGACAATCTTATTCACACGCATTATCGGATTCGCTCAGAAAAGTGGGAGCCATGTTTTCTTAGATGGAATGGGTCGCATTTGTTCAGACGTAGCAGGTAGTGAGAGTCGCGTATTTGTTGCGCTGGTCATGCTGGCATGTTTGGGAATGAGCAGGAGATAGGCTGGCTGGACTGGCCTGCACATAGTGTGGACCACAACTGCACGAAGCAAGATGATCTCTCGCCTATGGGAGAAAGTAACATGCAGTAATACTGCAACGAGAAGGGGCTGCAGTGAGTGGCTGTGGGCTCTGAACGCCACTCGACACTCAGGGTGGTCTGGGTGGGGTGGGGGGGGAGGGGTGTTCCAGACGAGCAGTTAATCAGATGAAAGGATACTATCAATATGGAAACTCTTCCCTGGCTGCTGAGGAGCTACTATAGGCTTGTCCTGAATGTTTTCATGTCGAATTTTCACTAAGATTAACTAAGATGAACAACAGTATGAATGTGTATGTAGCGTACCGAAGCTTCTGTCCTGCAGCTGTGTTGTTGTAGATGTCGCATCGGTGTAGAGGTCCAGTGTGGTTGGCTGCCTGGCACGCTGCTTTGTGAAACTGGAACTGAATGATGAAACTGATGAAGTACCTGCAGAAAGGCATGTGAAAGTGAATATGTTGAAATCATTGCTTTTCTTTTGAGAATTTAAATAATCAGGATACGAACAGCTACTACAATGTTTACTGCCTGAAATATTTAATTGACCACAAAATAGACCAAGAACAAGACAGAAAGATTCATCATACAAACTCTACAACGCCACTAAGTTCCTATGGTCAATGCGGTCAGTAGACCAAGAAGCAGAAGCTTGATCTCCTTGATTCCTAAAGTGGTAAATGAGGAAGTGAAGAAGAAGATAGATCGCCTAATCTACTCAGGTGCGGTAATTGATGCATGACAAGCTTAATGTGGTCAAAACTCATCGGAAGGACACGAATAAAGCATAAATACAAGTATATCATCGCGGAACACAGGAAGCTCATCACGGACCGGAGATAAATGTGAAGCTATGAATGACCAGGGGATATGATCGATATTTCAAACTTAGAGGAAAGCCAAGACAAAAAAAAACACAATACGATTTGTACAAGTACCATCCTAATTGGAACTCGCCACCGGCTGGTGAAGATAGGCACAGGACGCTTATGAGTATGCCCTGAATGCTTATATGTCGGTTTTTCACTCAGCTCATCTTATAGTTAGATGTGTTACAGCCGCGTACAGCAACACATAGTGAAGTACAAAGCGAGAATCATTTCAGCTGAAATGCACAAGTCAATGTCTCTTGTTACACTGTAGAAGTCATTATATGATCATGTACTTAGTATTACAATTGTAGAATTGGAGAGAACATGGGGAGAGCTGTATGATATAGTGAAGATAGAACGACTTGACCTCAGCTACCTTTGCTCCATTGGGGGCTAGAAAGGTTGAAGAACAAGAAGTCTTAGAATCTCGTTGGTGATAGTATATATGTATATATATATATATATATATATATATATATATATATATATATATATATATATCTGTGTGAGTGTGTGTGTGTGTGTGAGAAGAGAATTTAAAAAAAACACTACCTGAGATAAGGCACTCCTGCAGCTACATGGAACTTTGCCCCTGGATCAAAATCCTCCTCAGATCTGGCTATGGGGGGAGATACTCCTTGCAAATGACATCTGTTTGAGAAGTAATGAAAGTCAAGATGTGAGTGCATGTCTGAACGCTATATTCACGATATATATATATATATATATATATATATATATATATATATATATATATATATATATATATATATATATACACACACACACATATATATATGAAACGGGAATCCGTGAATCCGTTATTGGGGATCTGTCTGGAACAGTGCTCCTAAACCACATGCAAACCGCCAAAACAGCGGACATTGTTTTGCCGTCCACCTGATAGTTACGATAAACACACAAAACTGACGCTTTGTACGCAACACTGGCTTTGCAGGAATCGTATTTGTGAAACTTTCCACTGGCTAGACATCAAGGTGGCTGCTTCACTATACGTCTTTTAAGCGATTTAGTGTGTTCGTGGGGCTTTGTTTGATTTATGCATGTGCTGATGAAGGGCTCTGTAGCCGCAACTTTAACGTCTCGCTTGCATTTGTAATATTATGAAGTTTGATAATCTATTTTTCGTTCAGTGTTATTTCTTTCCTGGAATTGTATAGACTCCACATTAGTTTTTGTCCTCATTCACAGCCAGTAAACGATCGCTTGTAGATCAAAAGTGCGTGGGTTCGTGTCTGAACGGAGCCAGTCTCCCCGCCCCACCCCCCCCCCCACATGACTCATGTCTGGAGTAGGTATCAGGTGCTGATCTACGAAGTAAAGGCAGCCGTTGTGGTGCTGACCACATCACCCACCAAGCACCGATTGGTCTACAAGATACAGGTCTAGCCCTATATGCCCAATATGTGGAAAAGGCCCCTTTAGTTTTACCTAATTTCAGGCCAAGACTGGACTACGGTTACGTAACATTCGCGTACATTAATATACATAGCGAAGTGGTCAAGTTGTTTGCCTAGCGCTCTAGAAGTCGCGGGTTCGTTTCACGGCTGAGTAGTTCAGTTCACGAGTGCAATTTTTACGGAGATTCCTAGTGATAGTCGCCAGAGCTACGTAATTCCCGCTAAGTGCGCTACTCTCAACAGGGAGCTAGCCGATCTACGGAGAGGTGATCACGCCATGTAAGATAGAAACTCGTTGCAATGAAGTCGATCCTCTCGACTTAAACATTTAACCTTAATCCCAATTTTAACTGATTTATGTGTTTTGACTTTCTCCCCGCTTCAGGATTTGTGCCTCTTTGATTCTCACCCTAGTTGTGGTAATCCAGCTGTTTTCGTCCTCTATGGGTCGGGCCTCCTTTGGGGGTCTAACGACCCTTTCACAGGGGTTGTTTAAGACCACCGAGAAACATATTCTCTGAAGTTATGAAGAAGCAACGAAAAATAATGTTGTGTCTGTGGGTCACCACAACGTGAGGAATGGTATATAAGAGTCACGGTATTAGCAAGGTTTGAGAACCACTGTGATAATCCTACGGGTTGCCTCCCTAAACGAGATACAATACCTACCCGACCCCATTACATGATTTCGTGACCAGCCTGGACCTTTCCGCACCCGCTAGTGGGCGGTAGGGTTATTTTCTTCTTTTTCACTTCATCCCGGGACCTCTGAAAATTCGTGTGAATTTCTGGGAAAGTCAAATATTATGGGTGGTGGTGGTGTGGGGAAGGGGAGCGGGTGGGGTTAGGCGTAGGGTTAGTCAGTGTTTATTTCACATCCTAACACCCATATACTATAGGACTGTTCCGGGTGTTCGCCAAGTAATCTTGCAGTCCTCGAGATGGTTTAAAATAACAGAAAAGAACAGGTCGCATACAGCAGGTTGAAGAATACTGACCTAAATAGCAAATTATGCGCCCATGAGTAATGTGATCGGTACACTAACATCTGAAGAAGATGAGTAAACTTTCTCCTCTTCCTTCACAGAGATTGAAAGATACAAATATATAATATACTACACTTTACTAGATGGGGTCGCAGTGGCGTAGCATGCGGATCGGAAGGTTGTGGGTCGGCTTCCTGGTGGAGCCAGACTTTTAAAAAAAAAAGGACCTTGACTCCCGGTCGACTTAGCCTTGAGTGGGTACCGGGTGCAATCCTTGGAAGTAAAGGTGACCGGTGTGATGCTGACCACATCACCTGTCTTGTGCAGATCGATCTATATAATATAGGTCTAGCCCAATACGCTTAATGGTGTGGAAAATGTACATTTACTTACTTACAATTTACTAGAAAAAAAAAAAAGACGTCTCGGGTCTAGCATTATGTCCTATGCGCCACCTAATGGGGCCAATTTGCTTTATCATTTTGTATCATATATATCACCGTGTTGGTTGCTCACAACAGAGAAATACATTTACCTCAGGTCCCACCAATCTTTGTTATATGTATCCGGTGTGGTAGCCCCACTAAAAACTGACCAACGCCACTGGTCAATGAGGAAACCAAATGGTAGAAAGGCCACTTTCTGCAGGGCCATATTCATCAGGACATTCAAGTCAGTTTCTGAAACAAAACAATTATTTGAATAATTCAGTCAGCAAACTCTTTTGAATGTAACAGGAAATGAGGAAACAGTACCATTCACACCCAGATGTACAAACGAGGAACAGCCTACAATAATCGAACAAGAAGTCAGAGAAGCAATCAGATGCAGTCCCAAAAATAAGGCATCAGGTGTTGATGGAATATCAGCCGAGGCAATACAGGCTTGTGGAGAAATTGGAGTCACCTGGCTACTCCACATATTTAGGAAAGCCTGGAATGAAAGAACTGTACCAATAGACTGGCAAAGAGCTCTTATAGTCCCAATTTGGAAAAGAAAAGGCAATAAGCAAGATTGTAACAATTACAGAGGCATCTCCCTTCTAAGCCACGTAGGAAAAATGTTTGCCAAAATTCTGGAACAACGAATTAGATCCGTTGTAGAACCGACCCTGAGCCCATCACAGGTCGGATTTAGAAAAGGAAGAGGGTGTACTGACGCTATTTTTGCTTTAAGACAAGTTAGCGAAAAGACAATAGAACACAGACATCAAATGAACATCGCTTTCATAGATCAAGAAAAAGCTTTCGATAGAGTAAACAGAAATTTATTATGGAAAGTTCTTGAAAACTACGGTATAAATGGAACAATTTTAGATTGTGTTAGGGCTATTTATAGACAAAGTGAAAGCGCCATTAGAACAAGAGCTGGCATCACAGACTGGTTCCCAGTAACATCAGGAGTAAAACAAGGTTGTGTATTATCACCTTTACTTTTCATAATATTTATGGACAATATTAATAAAATAGACATAACACCAACAGATGTCGATAAACAGGAGGACTTCAATGAGCTGCTCTTTGCCGACGATCAATGCATATTTCACAGTGATAGTAAACAGCTGCAAGACCACATGAACCTACTACACGACAGTTGCCTCAAGCATCATATGAAGATCAATACTGAAAAGACAGAAGTCATGAGCATAAGTAGAGAGCAACAGACCATCGACATAAAGATTCTAGATCACAGCCTAAAACAAGTGCAAGAATTTAAATACCTGGGAAGTATCTTTACATCCAATGGTAAAATAGACAGAGAGATTGAAGCAAGAATCCAACAAGCCAACAATGTCGCATACCAGCTTGCCCCAATTTTAAAACACCCTGCTGTCCCAGCTGAGATAAAAAGACAAATTATAAATACAATCTTTATACCGACATTAGGTTATCAATGTCAGACTTGGACATTAACAAAAGAACACGAGAGAAGACTAACCACCTGTGAAATAAGATGTTTGAGAATGGCTGCGAATAAAACCAGAAGAGATCGAGTGAGAAACGATGTGATCACAAGAACTATTGGAACCATACCCATCGTTAAATTTATTGAGAAGCAAAGAATGAAATGGTTTGGTCACCTAATGAGAATGGAACCAACGATGCCAGCATCAAGAGCATACAACATGAAAATCGAAACAACAAGAGGCAGGGGAAGACCAAGAAGAAGATGGATTGAAGGAGTCACGGACAACTTGAGACTTCATAACATCACGGCATATGAAGCGACTGAGCGCGCCCTGGCTCGGTTGCCGATCATCTGATAGACTGCGACGCCTAGCGGCACAAGCAGATTTTGACAAAAGAAGAAGAAGTCAGCAAACAGATGTAAGACTTTCGATACAATGTTTTATGCTAAACTGAGGTTTGAGGTTTGAACAACGGATCAACATCATGGCACACAGGTAAGTTAAAAAAAAATCAGTTTTTACGCCTTGGGCGCATCAGGCATACGTGAAGAACACCCATATTTAAACAGACCATCGGCACTAGGTGGGAAATGTGGTCAGCATTACGCCGTCCGTCTTTACTTTCTCAGGATAGCCCATCCTGGTACCCATTTTAGGCTGGGTCGACCTCCGACGCCCCATACCATGATAAAAATATTTACCTGTGGACTCTATTCTAGTTTGTAATTAAAATGGAATGCATTCAGGAGTAATGGAAAATAACTAAAATGTCTGAGCAACCAGTGTTGACAACAGTTATAAGACAGAGACGATGGCGCTACACTGGACATGACCTGAGAAGAAACAAGTCTGACATTCGGCCCTTCTAAACTCTTATATTTCAGAAAACCAATGACTGTTATCAAAATTGCATGTTATGTGTATAAAAAAGAAATATACGTTATAGAATAATGCATACACACATCATGTATACACAATCTTACACACTCAAACACACACAGACTCTTACATTCTCATACATATATATAAACACTCATATACAGACATACGTAATACATACATACACGCACCTACATACATACACAAACATAAAACACACACACATACATACATAGACATACATGCAGACACACATTCCATTCATACACACCTACACATGCATGCATGCATACACAAACATATGCAATCACATATACAAACACCCACATTCGCCCACAATCACACAAATAGACTCACATACAATCACACACATACAATCCCCCACATACATGCATTCATTCACATATCCGTACATACACTCACGTGCATACATACATACATACATACATACATACATACATACATACATACATACATACATACATACATACATACATACATACATACATACATACATACATACATACATACATACATACATACATACATACATACATACATACTTGCATACATACCTAAATACACAAACATACACCCACATACTTACACAGCTACATATGCATTCATACATCGACCAACATGCATAATACACACACACATAGATACATACATGCATGCATGAATACATACACACACATACATGCAGACATACAGACACCCACATACATACATACATACATACACACATGCATACCTGCATACATACATACTTGCATACATAATATATACACACACACCCACAATGACACATACACTCATCTACAATCACACATACCCACATACTTACAACATAATACATAAATACACACACATACTTACAAACCTAAATATAAATACATTTATCAAAATACATACACATAAATACAAACACATCCACATAATGCATACATACATTTATACCTGAATACATACATACTTGCATACATAATGTACACACACACACCCACAATCACACATACACTCAACTACAATCACACATACATACACCCACATACTTACAACATACATACATACCTAAATACACACACATACTTACAAACCTAAACATACATACACATATCCACATACATACAAATAAAAGCATACACACCCACATAATGCGTACATACATTGATACATACTTACATACATACACACATAGATACATATATACACACATGCACATCCATAATACACACCCACATACAGGTCCAGGACGAAGTTCCATTCATTATTCTGCATTTATTGTACAGGATAGAATGGAATAGAGGAAGACACTGCTAGCCATATAGGCCGTATGATGACACAAGAGGACAAAGACGTGATGATAATGCAAGTTTTCACATGTCGCCTGGTCAAAAGCCTGTTTATCCTACTCTTCGTTGGCTCATTTCTAGTTAAAGAGTTGATTCATGTTCTTGTTTAAATTATTATCCTTGAATACGCATTTTAACATGCTTTCTTTAATCTTCTTCTTTCTCTTCTCTTTCACCTTGTACCTCAGCTAAGTGTCGGGGGGAGATGTAATGTTCGTTGATGAGCTCTGTCAAGAGCACTATTAAGACTGATGTTCATTTCTGTAAAGCTGTTCCTAATGCCATCACTCAATATTTTCCGAGGTCTTCCACTCGCTCTATACCCGTTGTAACGTTTTAGTGTGGCTCGCTGTGGCGGATAGTACCAGGGCATTCTTGTTAGGTGTCCAGACCACTTCATTTGTTGTTCTTTGATGACCTGTAAGACTGCCTTTATTCCTAGCATTCGTCTGATTTCATGATTTGCTTTCTTTAATAAACCTCCATATTCTGGCAATGTCTAAACAGTCTAGTTACATAATAAAGTGATGACATAAATAGGGGGATGACTCCAGTCGATATGATCGCAAGAAATTCTAAACATAACACACAACTTGACTGGAAAGCTCAATGGAGGGAATGGAAACGACGCACACAAACACAACAGAACGTTTTGAGCAAAGTCTTTATCAACAGAGTACTAAATACAGCACAAGCTATGTCTAAAAAACTCAACGGAGAGGACAGCAGAATATCTCGTCGTGCAGCATTTCCTTAAATCAGTCCCTAGAATAGAGCGGCGACTCCGCTGTCTCCATTGTGATGATTAACGCACTGGTAAGTGTGGAAGCACAGATAGATCATTACCGTCTAAGGAGAATGGTGCTGCGGGGAGTTACCAGGAGATCTGGCCGAAGCTCAACACTCAAGGAAGGCGAGAGGGATGTACAGTCAGACAATTTCTGGTACTCTCGTAAATGGAAAACTTCGCTTGGTGGTGAAGATGGGGACGTAACGCGTATTTGATTATCCCGAGTTATATGATTCAACATTGACCAAATAACTCAAAAAGTGCCGATTTCTCTATACAAAACTTGATTTAGCACTATGTGCTTAATGCCCTTTCGTAACAATCTTATTTTAAAACTAGTTAATTTTGAAACTATACTTTTATTACCTTTATCTGAAGGAATTTCCTTGACCAAATTCAACTTTTTCATGTGTTCCGGTGTTTGGACCGACAACGTCATCACATCACCAACGGCTTCATGAAAACCTGGAAATGTTTTTTATTGCAATGATTGCTGTATTAGTTGCATGCTTATTTCCACAGGCAATATGTCCTATCGTGAAATGAACTGCTTTTAGTGCATTACATACATAACTTGACAACAGTCGCAGTTTGTTGTTGTTGCAAAATTAGCCTTGGTTCTTAGTTTAAAATGTGTACTTAGTATTGTTCAGGAAAGTAAAAGCGACTAATGTAATGTTGATCACATTACCCACCGACTGGCGATTGGACTGTAAATAATCTAGCATGCATTTTTTCGATGCTCTTTGCCATGACAAATGCTCCTTTGCACTTTTCATTCATATATTGTCACAAAAAGAGCAACTAAGAGGTTATGAAAGAGACGGGCGCCAGAAGACAACTTATCGCAGACATCAGAGGGAGACAGTCATCATTTGTCGGCCATGTTATGAGAAGAGGTGTCAGCACTGTGGCTAAGTCAATGCGAACGCTTCGTAATGCCGGGATGAAGGGTTCGATCCCAGCTGCGGGCCATGCGCTTTGCGTTGGTTTCGACAGTGGTATCAAGAAAGTCTGACCGTCCAGGAAGCAATGGCAAACTACTGGACGTAAATTTGCCTAGAAAAACCACACAACAGCCAAAGGCTGTTGGGGTTGGTACTGCAACGTCTTTTATAATTTTTTTTTTTTTAAAATAAATCTGCACTTGAATTAGCAAGCGACCTTTCATTTTGGTTGGCAGTACATGTCAGACAGGGTAGCCGCAGTCATGTAGCGGCTAGAACCCCCACCCCCCCCCCCCGATCCGAAGGTCGTGGGTTCGGGTCTTGGCAGAGCCGGAGTTGTGTCAAAGATAATCTTGTCTCCCAGATCGACCCAGCCTTAAAAAAAATGGGTACTAAGTAAATTCCAACAAAGCAAAAGTGGTCGGCGTGGTATTAACAACACCACACCCCGAGCGTGGATTGGTTAGTTAAATTTAGGTCGAGCCCTATATGCCCAACACGCGAAGGCCTAGAAAAGGGTCCTTTACTCACTTATGCCAGATAGGGCTGGCAATACATTTCTCCTTGCCGTTCTATTCTTTGCTATCACTTTGATATAATGGATGGAACTGAGTCCAGCAACGGTGGCTTCTTTCAACAACGTTCGCCTTCGGATTTTTCTTGAACGTCCTTGTTTTTCAGTCCATATATTAAATCAAAGCAATGTTTCCCCGTTGTTAGTTGAGATAAGTTGAGTGGAGTCAAGAATTGACACGACAGCACTTAGGGCATTCCCATGCGTGCTGCGTCCTCATCCTCAGCAGGCCGCGCAGAGTTCCAATATTTATGGTACCGGCTACATTCTGGTTATATGTCTGTCTTGCCTTTCCTCTGAGTGTAGTGAGCTGGCTAGACCCTCTGGTTACACCTCATTCTCTCCTGGCCATAATAACCTAGTTTCTTTACTGGACCGTTTCTTGTTCCCACATGACCTTGACCACGCGTACATTGTCATGTATCAATTCACCACTTAGTTGTGCAGATCCAGCTAATCTATCTGCCTGTTCATTGCCCACTACGCCGGCATGGTCTGGAAAAAAGATCCACAGTATGCTCACTACCCGTGACCTTCCCAGTAAAGCTTGCCACTCTGCTCGAAGCATCCCTGTCTATGTATGTGTATGAATTAGTGTGTACATGTATGTGTGTAACTATCCTGAATAAAATTGCACTGACCATCATTTGCCCCTTCACGGTAGATGATCGGCTGGTCCTTGTACTGCATGTAGTAGACAATGTGGCCCATTTCATGGTGGACCGTCATAAGGTCCTGCTGGGTGATGACCGTACACATCTTGATTCTGGAACACATTGTAATAACTGCATTCACTATATATTTTACATGGTATTGTCAGATATGAGGAAATAATTCATAATTAAAGAATCTAATAATACTTTCTTTTTATTCTCGTTCTATTCCTTTTTCTACTTCTCTTCATCCTCCTTCTCATCATTATCATCATTATCATAATCATCATTAAAATCATCAAAATCAACTTCTTCTTTTTTCTTCTTTTTCTTCTTCTTCTTCTTCTTCTTCTTCTTCTTCTTCTTCTTCTTCTTCTTCTTCTTCTTCTTCTTCTTCTTCTTCTTCTTCTTCTTCTTCTTCTTCTTCTTCTTCTTCTTCTTCTTCTTCTTCTTCTTCTTCTTCTTCTTCTTCTTCTTCTTCTTCTTCTTCTTCTTCTTCTTCTTCTTCTTCTTCTTCTTCTTCTTCTTCTTCGTCTTCTTTTTTATATTATATTTCTTTTCTGTTTCTTCTTCTTTTGTTTTCGTCTTCCTCTTTTGTTCCTCACCATATTCGCACATCTATATCGCCATCATTATCATTTCCTTTATTGTCGTCCTATTATTTAAAAAAATATCTTGTTGTTGTTCTACTTCTGCTTCTCCTTCTTGTTCCCTTTCCCCTTCTCCCATATACATTATCATTGTCATCGCCATCCCAATCATGATAATCATTATCGTGTTGTTGATGTTGTTCTTCTTCTCCTTTTTCTGCTTGTCTGGGCTTCATCTCTTAAATTAAGTTTACGTCAGTAATTAAAAAAAACACATGCTAAATACATTTAAGATAGGCATTCAACCCTTCCTTCGGACATGAACGGACCAATCTCCTCCCAATTTCTCAATGTCAAGCCCTGGACCATGTCTGGCAAATCACTCGCGTTATTTTGATGCGAACAATAGGTTTCAGATTTCTAGCCTCACACTGAATATAATGTAAGGCTCTAACCTGAAATCTTTCTGGTCTCCGAAATCCCAAGCAGATGCATGGCATACAACATCACGTCCATCTGTTGGCTTCTCCAGCATAGACAAATTCCAGAAAGTTGGTACCATCTCATCGAATCCCAGAGACACAAAGAAATTCTCAGCCGTGCGAAAAATTCTATTCACTGTGTAGTTCTGAAATGATATTGTTATAACGATTAATTTTTTCTTTGCTGAATTCTTGCAATTAAAATGTTTTTTTTTTTTTAAATTCGGGCCTTCTTTACATTAGTGATTGCCTGAAGTACATGAGCTGCTGTCTTGGAATATTATGAAGTAAGGCCCTAATCTTTTCCACGGCGCAACTCTTGTACCACTGTATGAAAGCCACCATAACAGATTATTGTTGTTGAAAAAAAAAATGATAAACAAACACCATCATCATTGTCACTGAATTCTGTCGCAGCAGCTTAGGATAACAAGAAGCCAATTCCAATTCCTTTTTAAGAAAAAATCAAAAACTCAACTACGTTCATCCTGATGCTAGCTAGCCGAGGCTGCCTACAGTCTTCAGCTATATTTGTGGTCTTGTTTATTTGCACCACTTTCGGGGCTAAAGTTCTGGTATGTGTGCCGTCTCTGGGCTTAATGTTTCTTTCCTCCTAGTTAGACCCCTCAATTCTCAATCGTTTTGTCCACTGCTTGTCCCGGGAAGTAAAGGCTGCCGGCGTGGTGCTGACCACATCACCCGTCTTGTGCCGATTGGTCTATAAAATATATGTCAACCCTGTATGCCCTATACGCCTAAAAGCGTGGGAAAGAGTCCTTTACTTTTTGACTTTGTCAACTGTGTTCTTCTTGCCCTTTCATTTATGATGTTTTTCCTTAGTTTCATCTTCCTCTGATTTGACCAGGCGGTTGCCGTAGGAGAGCCAGCTTCTCAACATAAAGTCTTCTGAACCACCATTTATAGTTTTAAAATGTTGAGTATTTTACTTTGCCAAAAAGAACTGAAACAGTTTTTGGGTTTGGATAGACCCAGCCAAGAAAAGTTTCAATTCCGATTCCTTTCCAAAAAAAAAAAAAAAAAAATAAATAAATAAAAATAACTACAAGCAGCTGATCAGAACTTTTTGCTAGGTTTACTGCCTGACAAATTTCGTTTTATCTATACATTTATTGCCTGGTATTTTTCACTTTAACTAGTCTGGCGATTAGCAGAACTAGAAATTGCTTAGCAAAAGGTATTGCTAGGTTTACTGCCTGACAAATTTCGTTTTATCTATACATTTATTGCCTGGTATTTTTCACTTTAACTAGTCTGGCGATTAGCAGAAGTAGAAATTGCTTAGCAAAAGGTATTGCTAGGTTTACTGCCTGACTAATTTCGTTTTATCTATACATTTATTGCCTGGTATTTTTCACTTTAACTAGTCTGGAGATTAGCAGAACTAGAAATTGCTTAGCAAAAGGTATTGCTAGGTTTTCTGCCTGACTAATTTCGCTTTATCTATAAATTTATTGCCTTGTATATTTCACTTCAACTAGTATTAGCAGAACTAGAAATTGCTTAGCAAAAGGTGACCATGTTCTTAGTGCATTTGTATTCATGGCAAGGCGCACACACCGTCTTAACGTGACAGTTTGAATTCCCGGCACGGTAATTATTGGATTCAATTTTTATGTTGTCTAGTGTGTTCTTCTATCTTTCTACTTCTTTCTATAAGTGGCGACCAATACGCTTTCTGTTACTTGATTATTTCATTAGCATATGGTATTGCTAGGTTTACTACCTGGCAAATTTCGCGTATCTACTGGCAGTTACAAACTTGCCTTTAAAATTGCGATTTTCATTATTAGTTAGGTTGGCCACTCCCTTCTTGAATATTTTGTAAGAACATCATGCAACCCCCTTCTCTTCCCCACCCCGCCACTTTCTTGAAGAAAAGGGAATAAATGGAGGTGGCCGGGGGCGGGGGAGATATCTCAAGCATTATTTACATGAACGTGGAGAAAAAACACACATAAATCAAAGTTGTCATATTACATAGAAGAAACAACCACTAGCAATTGGTACTTTAGTGTCCAAATATAAATGTGACGGTGATTCTGTTTTTGTCTTGATGATATCTGATTTTGGTAACATGTTGCACAAGGGAAAAAATGGAGATCTCCACTTTAAGCTGGCAGCTCTGTTTGTTTTTAATGACTGTTAATATTTCAGCTATCCTCTAAAAAACGTCCAAAATTATGGAGGCCGAAAATAAACACTAACAGGGCCTCAGTCACATGTAAATTGCAGACCTTTTCCGGCGACTATACCGCCATCGCTGAGAATAGTCCCGCGCCGTCACGCCCAGCGTGGAGAGGGGCTAAACTAGAATGCTGGGACTCACGAACAAAAAGAATTGAGAAAGCTGCATGAGATGCTGCTCGTGAGTCCCAGCCATCTAGTTTATCCCCGCGCGTAGCGGCGCGGAAGATACTCTCGGCAGTGACTTTAAATCGGCGGAAGGTTTTCCGCGGTATGCTATGTAGTCGCCAGAAGAGGTCTGCAATTTACTTGTGACTGAGGCCCTGTTCGGGTTTTTTTCATACTCCATAATTTGGGACCGTTATTCGGAGGATAGCCATATTTTCTTTTAACTAAAATATAGGTTTACAAAATATTGTTGGTATAATATTAAAATTCCCTTGAAACCTCTTTGCGACTCCAAACGGCACATCCTCCCAGGTTAAAAACGATTGCTCTAGCACGATATATCTGATGCACTAACAACGAAACAGAGTACTTACAATTACAATTAAAACTTTAAACAATTTATTTTCACTCGTACACAAATTCGTGAACTGAGCTCTAGTATTGACTGGTTTGGACACTCTACCAGAAATTAGTAAACATTGCCACAGTTTACCTGGCTGACCATTTCCGGGGTCACGTCCAAGGCCGATTTGTTTTGGTACGGCTTCAGGATGTCAATGAGGTGATCCCACTGTTGGGCCCACAAATCACCTAGACAGCAAAACAACACTAAGTATATTAACAAGGAAATGTTAAACGGAGGACACAATATTTGTTTCATTCTTCTTATGTTCTACCCTGGAACGTTTTGCAGGAGGAAAAGGTAAGTGGTTACTTTGTTACACAATTCGTTGGAATGTTACTACAGCAAATTCTTTTTAACGCGAATCTGAGTTGAGAAAAAAATCTAGTTCGTGTTATAACAAGTCGTTTTCCAGTACTGATAATAATAATACATCCGAGTGTAAAACCACAATTGTGATGATGGTAATTGATTGTTCCTCTTAAGCAAGTTTGTCTTAAGGATGTTTTTTGAATTTTAGAAGTGCGGCAGTACTCGGTTATATGTCCCTAATTGGTACCAGATCCTTGGAAGTATACCGAACATCACGTTTACATAACAGGTCGTATACCAAACAGGCAGAATACCTAACAGGACGTTTAAAAAAAAAAGAATCCAAGTGAAATAAAGAGAGCACGATTAATTTGTTCCTATAAAGAAAAACAAAATCGTGATGATACTGTTATTGAAGAGGTTGTGTAAAATTAGTCAAACACTGCTTAACATTAAAATACATAAAAACAAAACACAACTGGATAAATTGCATGCATATATGACCTCACTTTACCTTGCCGAAAAGAGTCGAATTACTGTCGTGTTGTGCTGAGAAGATCGGATGAGCACATGTTACTAATCAGAGGATAATTCCCCATCCAATAACATTTCAGGAATCTGATTTTCTGTTATTTTTTTTCCTGATTCTATTTTCCCTACTTGGACCAGGCTAAGGATGACCAGGATTGTCAACATTAGAGCACTTGTCACAGTCATGCCAAAACTTATAGATATGTGTAGTCTGTCATATTTTTAAAAGTTTAGAAAACTAGTGGAGAATTGTCTAGTCTGTCGACTGTTTCCACCATGATTGCTACAAGGTACGGGTTATTGTTTTATAAAATTTATATAAATTGACAAAAGTCCATTTAAAAAAAAAGACTGGTGAACGGGAGTCACGAGAAACATTAACTTTTGTCTTATGACGCCATTAATGCAGATGCGTAGATGCTATGTGAATAAATATATAAAGAAATGTACTAGCTAGCTGCTAAAAACTGCAAATTACTGCCTTAAATATACCACTTTTGCGGTGGGGAAGGGGGGGGGGGTCTTCGAGCCTTGGCATTTATGGCCACATGGCTAGTGCTGTCGCCACGACTGCAGCCTCACAAAGGATTCGAACCCGGGTCTGCCGCTTGAGAGCCCAGCGTTCTAACCTTCTAAGCCGCTCTTCCAAATGTACTAGCGACCGACATATGTCGAGAAACCTGGCTATATTCTACCGTCTGAAAACAACTGCTTGAAAGCGTTTGCCAGGATCAGCGAGCTAATCTCTGAAGCTACGTGTGTTTAGCGACTGCATGAAGGAGTATTTCTTTAAGGTATTTCTGAATGAAGCAGGGAGTATTTAGTCAAGATTATCATACCATGAAAGTAACAATTATCTTAGAATGTCTGCCTCTGAAGTGCATCGACTGAGGCAAAAAGCTGCATGTCAAAATAAAAAGGGTTATACATCAGCCGTTTTGGGCTACCGAGGTTTTTGTCAAAACTAGAGTCATTATTTTCTTGCCTGTGAACATACAGAAGATATGTAAGCACAAATAGTGCATTACGGTGATACTAACCTAAAATATGTGCCGGGATGTGACCTGTGGAGGGAAAGTTGCTGTCCCCGTAAACCTTTCTTAAGCGCCGTCTCACGAATGCGTGCAGATGCTGGTAAAGAGGTGTCAGCTGGTCAAAAAGGTCCCTGACCTCACTGATGAAAGTATCCGACTCGTAACCGGAACGCCACATCTCTCCGGTGTCGTTGTATCCTGCAGATATATTACTGCAACATTCATATTTGTGTCGTGATTATTTATTTCTTTGAGTTCTTCTTGGCATCTACGCGTTTTCACTTCGGGTACAATGTTCTGATTGTTGCGCACTTCTGGAGTTTGGTATTATTCTACAACTTCAGTTATACGTGCACATCATTTTACACATCTGCCTTATTTGTATGCAGACTGTTGCTCCCTCGCAGCTGAGGCAGATGCACTGCGAATTCGAAGGAAATATCCATAATTAGTCACTCCGTACGTCATGAATTGTAAGGTGGTATCTGGTCTATTGTTTTTTTTTCATCCAAAATGGAGCCGCCTGAACCCACTAAGAGAAAAATGATGTCTGGAGACAACACAATTTCAAAGATCGTGAAATGGATTGAATAATGAGAATTCTTTCCCGTGTGTATTCCAGCATTCGATTTAAATTGGGAAAAGAGAACAGAATCAGTTACCCCATGACAACCAAGGGTGTAAAAAAAAATTGGAGCCTATGGGTAAACCACAGCACAAAGTGCCATCTATCTTTTTAGGGACAAAAGAAGTTGATGATGAGATCTTCGCATAATGAACTCTTCGTCGTTTTTGTAGGAACATGATTGTCCACTGATATAAGATCAAATGATCATCTTGCTCTTAGTGAAGTCTTGTGTGTAGTCTGTTCTTTCGTACGAAAGCGAATGCTAGACAAGGAGTAATGAACCTGTGTTGGAATACTGTAGCGTTGTGAATAATGTTATTAGTGACAAAGAAGAAAATAAACGCTTATATTTAGGTAATTGTGTATGTTACAAGACCGCACGTAAAAGACAAGGAAAATTAAAAATGGAAACATGCCTTATTTGAAATTAGTGGTGGGATAATAAAATTAAAATTTCTTGAAGTGTGGTAATAGTCCTAATATGATTATCAGTGGACACAGCGTTGTTTCAAGTGGATCACTAATCGTGTTTAATGCAGATCTTATCCCATTTAATCTTACCAATACATTGAATATCTTTTCTCTTGGTCTTTCCCTCCTTTTCGTGGCTTCCAATATTCTGTTGTTATACACCAATTTTCTAATTTACCCTAAGTGCACAAAGAATGTTAATTCTATAGCGCCAACTCACATGTTTGCTCTTCTTCTTCTTCTTCCTTCTTCCTCCCCCTTCTCCTTTCCCCCCCCCCCTCTCCTTTCTCCCCCCTCTACTTTCTGTCCCCTTTCATTTCTCCCCCTCTCTTTTCTCTCCCCTTTCTCCCCCTCTCCTTTCTCCCCCTCTCCTTTCTCCCTCCCCATCCTCCTCCTCCCCCTCCTCCTCCCCTTCCTCCTCCCCCTCCTCCTCCTTCTTCTTTTTCTTCTTTCTTCTCCTTTCTTCTTTCTTCTTCTTCTTCTTCTTCTTCTTCTTCTTCTTCTTCTTCTTCTTCTTCTTCTTCTTCTTCTTCTTCTTCTTCTTCTTCTTCTTCTTCTCCTTCTTCTTCTTCTTCTTCTTCTTCTTCTTCTTTTTCTTCTTCTTCTTCTTAATCTTCTTTCTCTATTACCACTCCGAGTGTCGAGGTAAGGAGGACGTGGTATAAGGTTTTGATTCTTGTTCTTCTGACAGACTCAGCAATAGACAGCTGCTGTTGTAAAGTTTCCCTGATGTTATCTTGTCATCTGATTCTTGGTCTACCTTGTGCTATATATTTTTCTCCTCTCGTAGTGTGTGTCGGGTATAGCATGGCGTCCCCAGGCATTCTGTCTAAGCGTGCAAACAGTTTGAATTATAGTTATTGTTTGTAATTTAGAATTAGTTCTGTGCCGACTTTTTCTCTTATGACCTCGTTTATGACTTTTTCTCTTCTGTTCATTCCCTCAGCCCTCTCATTCATCATATTTCAGTTGTTACTAATTTCTTTTTTCCTGTTTGTTGTGACTGACAATATGTGGCACTAGTAGGATGGACAGGGGATAAATATGCCTTGAATGAGTAAATAAGTTTAACCAGTTAAATGTAACTTTATAAAAAGAAATGTTAGGCACCATTTGCAGCACAGAAAAGAATTTGCATATTTTTATCTTTTATAATATGCCAAACTGTCTACCAGCTTCTTTCTCGGTCTCACCCCACCCCTCACCCCCATGCCCCTCCACCCACAGCTCTTCGGACAGAACCATAGGCGCTCCTAACTCCTTTTCAGCTGCTCTATTAGAACGAAGCGACTGATCACACACCTTCTGCGTTCATTAGTTAGTCACATTGTGCCCTTCGGAACATGTTCATGACTGGCTGCTTTAGGCTGCACTCTAACCCATTTCCACCAACCTGGTCGAGGATACTGAGGCCTGCTCGTCGTAATCTCTTTCGCGATACTGTTTTCCATGGCAGTAACGACATTACTCATGTCCAGCGCAGGGCCGGTCACTGTAACAGCCTTGTCATCCAGGTAAACTGCACGATCTGGTTCATTTGTTGTATACAGGTCGTCCGCTTGTGGGACGCAATTTATTTTTTATTATTTTCAGGTCCCACCCTGGTTGTTGCCGGGGACCCTAAATATAGCCGGGCTGTAAATATAGACTAAAAGTTGAACGGGGTTTCCAGGATTCTCAATGGGTGATGCTCATCCACATTGTGGCACCTTGTGTCACCGAGTGTTTGTCGCTCTGTGTGATGACCTGGTGGGATAAAAAGTCAGTCAGTTGGTGATTCCTGGTGCATTTAAATGAGAGAATCTTTATGGTCCGATAAGGCTGACCCTGATTTTCTTGAGCACATTGAACGAGACACTCAGTTTGCAGCATGCTTGAGTTTTTGAGTATCCAGCCATGCCAGTAACCTTGCTGCATCAAATGTCTTTACTGTGAGACTACTTGCAGTAACAGCAAAGGTACCACTCGTCTCCTTGATGGGTACCTGAATATAGGGACCAAGATTAGGAGCGCCGACACAAAGAAATTATAGAGGTTCTTCGGGTGCCTTTTACAAAATTTCTGGCAAGGACTTTTCAAGAAAACTAAACGTACTAATAATAATAGAAATTATTATATAAAATAATATTTATTATTTTTATTATTATTATTATTATTATTATTATTATTATTATTATTATTTGTTAAATGAACCAAAGGAGGGGAAACCCAATAACAGATACGAAGTTGTATGAAATATAAAAACAAATGTTCAGAAAGAGAAATTAAATGCTTCGATGTTAGATGGGAGGGAAAGGGTGGGGGGGGGGGGGGGGGAGACCTATCCCTTCTACCAATCTTCAAGATACTGTTTCCGAGATTAGCCCTTCACCTACCCCATACAATTATGTTTTAATGGAATGACAAGAGAACGGAAAGGGAGTAGGGACGGGGGGGGGGGCGGTTTAAGGCAGGCGCTCAAGTGAACTAAGCACCCATGTCCTGGCGCCCATGAACAAGTTCTTCCTACCTAGAAAGCGTACAGCCTCGTTATTTAGCTCCACGTATCTGGTATAGAGATGCTTCATTTTCCTGCCAGTTTGGTTACTCCAGCCAGACCACAGAGCCAGCAGCTCGCTATAATTCCTTGACGTTGCCATGATCTGAGTGATATCTGCATGTAAAGAGATGAAAGAGTTGAAGCGTGTTTCACAATGAATGAATGAATAAATAAATAAATGAATGAATGATTAACATAAATGTACTCGGGTCATCCCCGGACTTGCTTGGTTATCTTTTTCAGTAACCAAAGAAGATGTTCCCTTCTGACAGTGCCAGTATAAACCTAATTAAGTGTTCACTTGTCTTATACAGGCCTGTTGCAAACCGTCCAGATTCTATGCCTACTATTACTACTACTACTACTACTACTACTACTACTATTACTACTACTACTATTACTACTACTACTACTACTACTACTACTACTACTACTACTACTACTACTACTACTACTACTACTACTACTACTACTACAAAACAATCTTTTCGTGAGGTATTTTCCGCTTCCCAGTCCACTGGATCCCTTACGAGTTCTACGATAAATTAGTTCAATACCCAAATAAACGGTAGCAGTAAGCCTATAGCATGTTTAATTTTTTTTTATTTTTTGTTAAATCGCGGACCCTAAACTGTACTAGCCATGCAGTGTTATTTCTTCAGACTCGTGGGCCCGCCCATCACCTCCCCCCTCTCCCCTTTTTCGAGCCTCCAACCTCAAAAACACGTATTTCCTGCATTGTCCTAAAAAAGTGTTAAATCCATGCAGTAAACAGAGCTGTTTTTATGTCCATGAGTGCAGCATTTATTGTTGCAGTACAAAACAGTTCTTACTTGATTTAGCGCTTGTGACAAGTAATAAGGACATCTGCAGAGAGAGAGAGAGAGAGAGAGAGAGAGAGAGAGAGAGAGAGAGAGAGAGAGAGAGAGAGAGAGAGAGAGAGAGAGAGAGAGAGAGAGATGTAGCCTGAGTAGTTAACTTGCAGTGCACATTCGTATACACCAGTGGTCTTCAACATTTTTCAGGTACTCTCCCTCTCCCCCCCCCCCCCCCGTTAAAAAGAATTTGGTGAAAAACACGTACAAAATTCGATATGTAAATCTATATATATATTATATAAATATATATATAAATAAATCACCAACAACTAGTAATTTAGTGTTTAAATAAGAATGTCATGGATCGACAGTTTTGTCTTGATGATGCCTACTATATAAGGTTTGATGCTGAAGAAGACACAACGGAGGCTGCGTGGTCTCGAGGTATTGTGTTCGTCTCAAGTGCTAAAGGTTTCGGGTTCAAACCCCACTAAGGGCTGGAATTTTTTCTCGTGGACTTCAACTTCTAATAATTCCCCCTGGTCTCTGGGTAGTGAGATCGGACACCCGTGTGCATTGCTGCGCACGTAAAAAAGTCTCTTGGCAGTTGGAGATCGAAAAGAGTAGCGGCGCTGCTCGGGCAAAATTTGGAGTTAAAAATCCACCCAAAGTATATCAGGATCCTCGCCGGTGCTACAGAGCATGCGTACTGTGCTGAGCTGCTTCAGGCTCAGATTTGAGTTAGAAGGAGAACGGAGCCCTTATGGGTTACTACCCGTATGCCATGATGTTGATCGGTTGCTCTCAAATAACGTAGATCACTCTCCACATCAAGCTGGCACCGCTTTTTTTCCCCGTGACTTTTGAAGCTGAAAATCCGGATTATTACATGTACACATGAAAAATGTAAAAAAAAGGTCCCTTTTTCATTGGAAATTTAGGGCTATACCTATATTTATATACACCGATCGGCACTTTAGAGGTAATGTGGTCATCATCACGCCTGGTACAAATTAAATGAGGTTCAAAATTGTTTTATGGCCTCCCATGAAACTTACCTATTCTCCCTTAGCTGACGAGCCCACAAAATTGCAGACGACTGGTATGCACGATTTCTTTAATCATCTGTTTCGAATCCTCCTCGTGTCTACATTTGTACATAATTATTGTACCTCAAGATTGATCTAATTCTAAATGGATTCAAGAAAAGTAGGTAAAGTAAAAGTAATTGACCCTTTCCACGCCCTCAGAGGTATTGGAAATACAGGTCTACAGAGTACCCGGATGCAAATAATACCTCTAATTTCCTTGTATACTACTTGAGTCCAGTTTTTTTTAAATTTACATTTTTTCCTTGTTGGATTTTCTGGCATGCGTAATGTAGCAATTTTTAAACATTGTCAGAATGCAAATTATTCGTCAGTTTATTGAACATGTTTCACGTCTCTCCGCAGACGTCTGGTTTTGGTGTTCTGATACACTTAATTTTGGCTGTGTATAAACATCTGTTGTCATAGCTATTTTTCTCCCCTAAACAGTCGTTGTCTCTGCTGTTACTTACTATACTGTTGCTGCCCAAGGTATTGGAAACGACAGTATAGTAAAACCTAGAGTTGTCCTTAAACTGTACTATATAATTCATTCGTTAATATCCCAAGATTCAGACGGGTGGGGTGAGACAAGAACACTGACCTCATCCTGGATCCTGGTGATCGTGTGAGATAGCGAAACATGATTGGCTAAGTTTGTTGATTATGGTAATGAGAATGATGCTGTAGATGAATATGAAAACATAAAATGTGGCTAATAGAAAAACAAACCAGGCTCCAAAGGCAGACAGCTGTTTGGCGTAATGCAGACTTTGGCTGTCCCATAAATTGACTCCATCTCTGAAGTAACATTGGAAAGCTAGGAAAAGAAAAATACAGGACGAATTAACCTGATATTAGCTTTCACAAATGACCTTATACGACCTAAAACTTCATGTTTGTATAGAATATGACATCCCTGTTTGCCAGCGGTCCGAAGGTCTTGAATTAGAACCTCACAAAGGATGATGATTACCTGATCGATAAGTCAATTTGTCTTCTCCTTGATGCTACCTTAAGATGTACCGTGCTATACAATAACCTTTTTATATTTGCTATTACTCTTTAAAAAAATATTCCGATTATTCTTATATTTGGTACAATTATCATCAGGTGCCTTGCCGATTGGCGTGGACGATCATGCCTTTCCATAATCTGCGATCTCCTGCAGCATGTATCGGTTCGTGTGCCGACACACATCCATACCATGCAACAAGATTGTCAAGCATCTTCTCTCGTTGTCTTCCTCTATCCTTCCTTCCACAGATCTTTCCAGTGGTCACAACATGTTCTATTTTTCCTCTTCTCATAACATGGACGAATAATGATGACTGTCTCCTTCTGATGTCTGTGATAAGTTGTGTTCGGGCTCCCGCCTCTTTCAAAACCTCTTGGTTGCTCTTTTTGGCTGTTCGAGGTATTCTAAGCATTCTTCTGTAAAACCACATCTCTGAAGCCTCTAGAAATTGTTTGGCCTGCCTACTGACTGTCCAGGATTCACAGCCATATGTTAAAACTGGATGTATGTAGCAAGCAAGAATTCTTTGTTGCCTGTCCTATTCTGTTTCTTATCTCAGTTATGCATCATCCATCTGATGTTATCCAAGTGAACAGATACTTACATTTCTGTACTTGTCCTAAAATAATACCATCGACTTTTATTACACATTTAGACATAATTCGTTTCTTTGATACCATCTTTACTTCTGTCTTCCCATTATTCAAACTGAGGCCCATTCTTCCACTTTTTGGTACAAAAAATGATGACATTGTATGCTCAATTTTGCTTTTTTAAATTGGTGCTTAAAATATCCACTGCCGGCAGCAATACAGACTTTTGGTCGAATCTGCTACTTGGACTGTCTGACTTTTTACCCCACTAGGACATTACACTGAGCAATTAAACACCCGGTGACACAAAGTGCTACCATTCAGATAAGGATCACTAGTGGAGAGGTCCCAGAAACCCCGTTTATCCGTTAGGTTATATTACCCTCGGCAACAACCAGTGTGGGGTTTCAAAACAGGGAAAAATTCGTCCCACAAACTGCCACTTTTTCACTGTCGATTGTGTGACGCTTTAGGTTCACTCCAAGTCTGCTATATCCTATTTGAGCTAGCCCATGCTGCTTATGTTGCTTTCGTAAACCTTGTCTTCCATGATGCCTAAAATTCCATAGTCGTGATGTTACAGTCTGGACTGCTGGGTGGCTACACACTGGGGTTCCATGAATTCGTGTGTCTTCTGCGTGGGAACCGATATTGAGCATAGTCAGTTTCCGGCAGCTGTCATTCTGGCGCCAATATCCTCGATCTTCAGAAGATATGAAAGCCCGCCTAAACTCCATCCGTTGTTTGAAAACTCCTTGAGAATTCGTTTTGCACCACACCTTTTCTGTAGTAATGTTCTAGGACATGGTTTTTGCGTGCACATCTATTTTACAGATCTGGCTTACTTTGTATACAGACTGTTGGTTCCTCACCTCTCATGCAGATGCACTACGACTTCAAAGAAACCATCCCTAATTAATAGACTTTCACGACATGCTTTTAGGGAACAGTGAGTCTGTTTTCTACCCCTCCCCCACCCACCCCCACTCTCCCAAATGTGGAGAAATATGGGCAGGCAGTCATGAGAGTCATGATACAACCAAAACACATTTTTAATGTGTTTTTTTTCCTAAATCAGGCTGTAACATAAAATACTGACGCATGATATGACAGGAAACAGTGTGGTTTGATACCTGTAGGCTCACCAAAGGTGTAGGGTTTGACACCATATCGAGGCTGATTTCCACGAATGATATAGTTCGTTGACCCATCCTAAGATAGGATCTAGTAGATTGCAAGGAAGTAAAGGCGCGACAGTAATTACATCACCATTAAGTTCCCATTTGGTCTATGAAAATATTGAACAACTTACCAAACAATGACTAAAAGGGTTTACTGCTTTTTCTATCTTCCTGATATAGATCGTTAAAGCTTTAACCATTTACGACTCAGTCATGACAGATTCCGTTTCTTTTCACGTTTTCTTAAGGGTTATTGTTCTCCTCCAGTATAGTTATCTGTAGGATTATATTTGATATCATGTTACACGTTGTGTACTGAAAGTCACATTTCATCTTCTTCCTTGCGTTCATCGGCTGTGAACTCGGGCGACAAGTCTTAGTTGTTTCATCGACTTCTGGACTTTGGTCTTGTTCCGCTGCTTGAGTTTTGAGGGCCAAACCGATGTAGAGATTTACTGTCTATTGTATGTAGACATTCGGTTCCTCGCCTGTGACGCAAATGCATTCCGACTTTAAAGAAAGACCCCTGTCTTGTCGCTTCCTACCATATGTTTTTCTGGGGCAAAGGGGTGGGGTGGTGGGGGATATCCTAACATGGGGTCCCGTAACAGCCGCGTACGAAACTAAAAGTTATTGAGTAGAAGAGATTCCATGGAACCTACAACTACAACATAGATAGGTTTAACATGATACCTTTGTTCAAATTTCGTATACTAAACCTACCTCAGCAACTTTTGTTTCGTTTGGTTGCGCCGATACACCAATTTCTGTGATTTTTGATAACTGGCGTTTGATGTCAGGAGGCATGGCCGACTGATTGAACTTCAAAGCTGCTGTTCTCATCTTTTTGTCAAAGGTAGATGCGATCACCAGTTGTTGCACCTGGGAAATATGTGTCGTAATATGATCATGGGTTCCATTTACAAAGTACATAGATTTCTCCTAATTCTGAAGATATTTTGTACAGAGGGCAATGAATGGGAGTAGAAAAAAAAGAGAAAGGTGTGTGTGTTGGGGTGGGGGGGGGAGGGGGGGGGGGAGGTTGTAAACTACTTTTAAAACTCTGTCCTTCAAATCTTTTTATGCCATATAGGTATGACTTTGAGCGATGCCAGTTTGCAGTAATTCTGCAATGTTTGCACCTTCCCACTGACACTGCGATGAATCTAAACCTAGACTAACGGCCAGCAGTGACGGATATTTGTTGGAAGGGGATATGGCTAGCGTTGATCTCCTTAGAAACATTAATTGATTTTTTTTTTAAAGCATCTTAAAGGCACAATGATAGAAACGAAAAAACAAGTTCCTTCATCTCCTGATCTGACAGTGTATAGACAAGGTCACCTGTGTCAAAACCGGCTTGTTAATGTAAAGGTTTGCACTTTTTACTACTTCTATTTCGCGATCCTTTGATATCGGTTCATGTAAACAGCTTATTCGTTCGTTCGAGCGCATCCGGGCGCTGTTGTAGGGTACATTTTTTCTTTCTTCTCCTTTCCGGTGTTGTTATTCATCTTTTCGGTCTCAAGTTATTGAGAATTCTTGCGACAGTTTCCCCCTATTTTATGTTGTACCCTTTATTAGGGTGGGGCGAGATATTAGTATGTGTTCTTTGGCATATAAGACGTAGCTTATTGGATGACTGAGACGTCTGGTATCAGGAAAACGGATTCAAGTCACATTAACACATGACTTTCGTTTTATTTATATTTTGATTTTGACACACAATTTAGTTGCGTATCCTTTACAGGACGTTGCAGAACCAGCCCTAGCATTTTTTGTGTGTTGCTATTGTGGTGTTTCTAGGCAAGTGTAGACCAGCAGTTTGCCAATGCTTTCTGGACGGTGGGCTTCTTCATACCCCTGTCGAAACCAACACAAGGCGTAATGCGCGCAGCTGGGATCGAACCTGTCACCCCGGCAATACGAAGCAGGTTCGCAACGCCTAAGCCACAGATGCTGACGCTTTTGACACTTTTGAGATCAAGCTTGGGTTCAATGATAATTGCCTGTTAGCCTGAAAAAAATGACATGTGGCTTACTGGGTCACTGAGTGTCAAGTACTACGGAAACAGATCCGAATTACATGAAAAGATTCCCCTCTCTTCTCTCCCTTCCCTGGCTTTTTATAGATCACTGACTGACTGACTTTCTACCCCACCAGGACATCACACAAGCGATAAACACCCGATGACACAAAGCGCCACCATGCGGGTGAGGATCGCCGTGGAGAAGTCCCAGAAACCGCGTTCAGACAATCGGCCATATTTATGGCCTGCCTATATTGCGGCCCCTGGCAAAAGCCAGAGTAGGGCTTCAAATGACAAAAAATTTCGTCCTGAAAAGGACGAAACTGGATAGGCATATTTATAGATCACAAAAACAGGTAGTATTTCTGGCTTCTTCTAGATTACACATAAATGTGTCATTTCTTGCAACTTCAAGGTCAGAAACAGGTGAAATTTCTTGCTTTTTTTCTGATTTTCTTTTTTCTTTCACATCACATTAACGATAGATTTCGCTTTTATTTTTTCACTTAATTAATAGTGAATAGATACAACTATTTTGAAACCGTCCTAACATTTGATGCTAGATGCTTTGCAGAAATTAGAGCCAGAGTCACAATGGCAAAGGTGACCGTCAACAAGATAAAAACGATTCTCACCAATAAGACGATTCCACTTGCAGTGAGAACAGGGTTGATAGAGTCTTGTTTGCTATATGCACTTGGAACGTAGACAATAAGCAGACGAGCTGAAAGGCATTTGCTCGCCGCAAAGATGTGTTTTCTGAGAAGAATGCGAAAAACAAACAAACAAGTCCTTGTTGAAAAAGATGCAAGTAGTTAACTTACTAGAACAATTAGACGTTGCAAAACTCACCCCAGCATATTTTTTTTTTTGCTGTTGTGGTTTTTCTAGGGACATTCTAGGTTCAGTAGTTTGCCATTGCTGTCTTAAGGGTCAGCTCTCGGTACCACTGACGAAACCAACGCAAGACAAATCTTCTGCAGCTGGGATAGGACCCAGTACCCTGGCGTTACGAAGCGTGTTCGCAACACCTTAACCAAAGAAGCCGACCAATTAGACGTAGTTCAATGTTTCGTGGACATATTATGAGAAGGAACGGATTCGAGAACTTGGTAACAACAGCCAAGATTTTTTGGACAGAAAGCAAGAGGAAGGCAAACAGATAAATACTTGAAAGGCCTGGCCAGCTGGATTGGGCAAGACGAAAACATTGAACTGATCTTTGATTCTGGTGATCATGTGGGATGCGGAAACGTGACAGCCTATGCTTACTTACACAGCAAATGCTGATGCGAGGATATGAGTATTAACATGTTGCTAGCCAAATGTAAACAACACACACCGAACGGTTACTGAATTTCGTATTTTTAAAGTTGGACACAACTTATTGAACGGACTGTAGAATTGGATTCGAACCCAAGACGTGCGGACAGACGGACGAGCATCCTCAAACTCAAAACCAAGAAGAAAACACTCACCGCTTGCTCTTGGTTGTAGTCAGTGATGTTTGTTTCTGCCACCCATTGTTTGATCGCAGCCAGGTTCCTTTCGCGTCCAGCCTGGACATTATAGTCGGCCAGAAACTCCATGGCCTCCGTCACGTTGTTATTGGTGCCTACATCAGTTGTTGGGGTGCTGATTGTTGTATTGTTGGTGTTCGACGGTGTTGTATTGTTGTTGTTCGACAATGTTGTATTGTTGAACCCTGTTGTTCCGTTAGTCGTAGCGTCTTTTGGTGTGGTGGTGTCTTGACAATTGACGCATGCCATAAACAACAACGCCAGTAGACCGCAACGGTGCATCATTCCTGCTGTTTGGAAACAAAATAATAATAACTTATAATGATTTAACATAACTATCATGTTTAGAATAAAGTAAATGACCTTTTTTCACGCGTATTGTGCAAAAAGGACAAGACCTATATTGTATAGACCAATCGGTACTTGAGGGGTGATGTGGCAAACATGACGATGGCTGCATCTAATTCCCAGGACTGCACCTCGTACACACTCAAGGCTGGATCGAGCTGAGAGCCAAGGTCATTTCTGAAGAAAACCCGGTTCCGCCAGCACCCGAACCCACGACCGTTCGATCAGCAGACGACTCCCGTGTCGAATGGATCTCTTTAAAAATATATGTGTTCCATAACAATGGTCTGTGTTTGGCGACTGCTGAAGAACTGTAGTACATCTATCAATGATGTTTAGTTAGTAATAATCTGCTGGGCATAAACTATAACTGTCCTATTACCGAAAAAGTTAACAAATGAAAACGAACAAATATACTTAGTTTCACGTAATAAGTACGCGGCATCAAATATGATTTGAACATCAAGGAGAGTGGCTCATCTAAAGCTCACTGTCCCAAAAATGGAGGTCTTTTGCCGATGATAGTCGTGATGGGAGCCAAGAGAAAACAGTCCTGGATGGCACATTTACCAGTAAACGAGGCAGACCTTTGCGAACGTGGACACAGGGCGTTGACGATGCACTGGCTATAAAACTGATAGGGCCAGTCAATTTGCTAGGTTAAAAAAAAAAAAAGGCTTTCCGGCCTGCAGTGACGAGAGAGGTGTTCTGTGGAAAACCTGCTGATTGATGATTAACAAGACCATGAGTTAAAGTTTATTTCAACCGACGCAACCCTGGACGGCTAGCCTGGGCAACAAATACCTCCTGCTGTCGGATATGCTGACCCTAAGGCGTTCATATCGCAGCTATGCTGTAAACTGGCTCAGCGCGTTTAAGCCTGGGTGAACGCAGAGAAAGAAGAATTTGAAGAGCTATAATATCTCCGCAAACGTACTGCCAAAGAGCTAGATTATTATGCCTATAAGTGATTACAAAGAATTAACATTTAAATCAGATAAAATTAAAGTATTGTAGCAGAGGGTGGTTGTGAGGTTAAGGGGGTTAGATTCTCATGCTGGAGACCAGGGTTCGATACTCGGTGATAGTTTGAGATTCGTTTTGCTGTGACAAAAATTAAAACTTATGCCTGCACAGTTTGAGGCGATTGCAGCATCCAATGGCCTTATATTGCACGACTCAAGATCCCCATATATCACAGCCAGTGGCCTAGCAAGGTCAGATGGTAGACGGTGCGAAACATTTCCTGTCTCCCCAAGTGGCATTGGAATGTCACGTTTTACCCGATAAGGAACATTTCCTGTCACGCCTCATAGATAAGCACATACCCACACACACACGCACACACACACACACACACACACACACACATATATATATATATATATATATATATATATATATATATATATTAGGGCTGTACCGAATATTCGCTTCGTATTCGCTTCGGGGCCGAATAGTGGGCCTAATAACTATTCGGTATTCGGCCGAATAGTTGCGTTCGGGCCGAATACGAATAGTGGTTACATTACACCAGTTTCTGCATACACTGTGAAGGACTGAAATAACCTCTCATTAACACAATAGTTGCTGTTGCCTAAGTCTGTCGTACCGGGGGAAACTGCGACCTGGTTGCGTAGTACAAACTGCATAAAATGCCAACCGCAGTGTGTGTATGTGTGAGTGTGTACTGTGTGTGTGTGAGAGAGAGAGAGAGAGAGAGAGAGAGAGAGAGTGAGAGAGAGAGAGAGAGAGGGGGGGGGGGAAGAGAAAATGAGATCATGCATTTTTCGTTCTTTCAGGGTGTCTTCGCCCAAATCAAATTTGAAGATATTGCTAACGAGAATGTGAAGGTGCGTTTAAATTACATCGAACGAACGGCGGAGCGAACGATGGTTTTGAAAGAGGCGGGAGCCCGAAGAAGAAGAAGACAGTCATCATTTTTTAGCCATGTTTTGAGAATAGGGAAAATTGAACTTTTGGTGACCACTGGAAAGATCTGTGGAAGGAGGAATAGAGCAAGTCAACGATAAAAGATTCTTGATAGTCTTGTTGCATAGCATGGAGGTGTGTCAGCACACGAACTGATACATGCTGCACGAGATAGCTTATTGTGAAGAGGCATGATCACCCACGCCAGTCGACAAGGCACCTGATGATGATGATACACTATTCGTATTCGGCGAATAGTTGGTGCCACTATTCGTATTCGGCCGAATAGTGAAAATCACTATTCGGTACAGCCCTAATATATATATATATATATATATATATATATATATATATATATATATATGCGTGCACAAACAACACATACAAACACACTCAAAAACATTACCGCCCATTTTTTAAAATAAAAACGAAAACTGTTTGCCACAAGTCAGATCTGTAAAACGGATGTGAAGGCAACACTCAGAATATGGAACAACACCAGAGG